CCCATGGCCTAAACTTACATGGGATTCTGTAATTACTAAGAAAATTAACCTTCATTTGTTGTGACTTGGGTTCGAAGAAGTCGGCGGCTTTTTCCTTAGACCGTTTTCCACTGCTTTCTCCGGCTCGACCATCGCTCCACTCGGCAAACCTTTATTTACAGAAATCGAGTTCATCATCACAAAACTCAGCAACTTTCTCGACTGTGTTTTCCTTGCATGTAGTGCACGATTATCCGTTTCGTTTTCACGAGCCATACGGACAGCAAAACAGGCTTTCATATGAAAGAAAAGTAGAAATGAGATGAGAAAAAATGATGTCATGAGATTGGTTTTCATGTTTTAAGTAAGCTTTCTGTAAGAAAAATATGGAAAGGGAGTGAGAGACATAATAAGGATGGGGAGTTTAAAGGGCTGATGCACATTATAACGTGTTAGATTTGCCGATTTTTTGGTTGTAGTTTGTGGTTTTGCCTGACAAAACACGTGTTTTTGTTAAAAACGTTATCAACAAAGAGATTAATTAGGCCGTGTCTGGTAGACAGATAAGCTAAGGTTAGAGTTTATTTGGTTAGCTTATAAATTTTCTTTGTATTGAAGTAAGTTTCGTTTGGTAGGACTTGTGTTTTTATTAAATCTATGTTTATCTCATAAGCTTCTTTGGGTAGTTTTTCAAATAAGCTCGTTGAAATTTTTATTTCAATCAGTTCATCAGCTAATTTTATCAAACGCTTTTATCATATAGCCTTTCAGCTATAAATCATAAGTTATAAGCTATAAGCTCGAAAATCACTTATAACCTATGAACTAACTTAACTGCTATCAACTAACTTATCATCTCATTTCACTCTCAAACTCTGTTGAGTATGAGGTAGTAAACCAATTTAAGTCAACATATAAGTGTATATTATATGACTTTATTCTTTATTTTGAATTTGTTTGCAACTTGGAAGAGCACTCACATGATGACTGGGGCTATCTTTTTTTTACCTATTATTGAACATGGGTCATGTGACTTCATGCACATAAAGAATGTGGCTGTTGCATCTTCTTTTAATTCTGACATAAAAAAAAAAAGTAGCACAGCTAGCTAGGGTTAGCTGGGTAAGCTTGTTTGTGTCTTGTTACTTTGAATCTTGTGTTATATGATTCACTACACATCACATGCATATATTGACGTTAAACAAAACAATTGTTTGATCAGATTTGTGCTTCTATGGGATTCGATCAAACTCCAAACTAATCAGTTGAAATACGGTACATACGACCATTTATGTAGATCGATATGTTGAAAATTCAAGATGTTTGGATCAAACGACCTCGGACCGGCTGATATAGACTAGAAATGTTTGGATCTCGAGCTAACTGTAGTTTGGACGTCCTCGGACCTGCATAACTCCCACACCGGAGGAGGTCTCCAGTGAAGATTTTCTGATACATAAATGAGTAAGTGTACAAGATGAAGATAGAGAGAGATCTATGTATAATAATGCAATGGCTAAAATCACGTGTCTCACCCCTATGTATAGGGGTGAGGTGTCTGCTTCTATAAGGCTGCCCGGATATGGTGAACTAGCTGCTCAAGCTGTCGGAGCTACACTACAGTATAACCCGTACTACCCAATGTTTTAGAGATGGTTATGTGGTATGGACCAATCAAGTGGTGTCACGTGCCTTTGTCCATGTGCTGCATTAATACCTTGAATATTCTTTTAGTTTTCTTCATTAGAGGGTCTAGCCGTGTACTTCAAATTACCTCGAGTTGAAGTATCACCAGCAATGAGCCATGTTGTCATGTTCATCTGGTCCATCCTACGACTAGATGCTATTTAGAGACGAGCTTTCACTAGGCCCTCGGAGGGCCTCTATTCGACTTGTTGGTATCCTCTGCATCTCAAGTGCCTCCTTCGACCTGAAGGTCTTTCAATCTGAGGAGTCTCCATTCTCCGCTCGACCTGATGACCAGTCTGGTTCGGTTTGGTGGTCTCTCCGGTCCAGTCTACCTGGTTTGGTATCTCATATCATCCTCCAACCATTTTTTTTGTTGTCGAACTGAAATGAATTTTTGCATAACATTCTCAACACCAATTTTTACAAATTTCAATTATAACCATATATTTAACAAATTAATAAATTAAATATCACTATTATTTTTATTTTCAAGTCTAAAGCATTGAGATGTGTGAGAACCAAGTGAGGTCTTTTCAGAGCTAGATGTGCGACAATCTTTTTAGAGAGACATCTTTTGAATTAGGTGTGATTGGATATAAGATATTTTTGGATTTGATTGAATTTGTTGGATAACCAAAGATAATTTTTAAAAGGTTGATTGAGTTACATTTGATTGGAATTTTGAATTTGTATCTATATATATATATATAATTACTAGCCAATAGCATTTAATAAAACCTAATTAATTTTACCTATGTGGCAATTTAATACTTTTCCCTCCAAAAACCGTTACTTTTTTTATGTATTTAATCTTTCATTTAATTATTAAATAATCAATACTAATCACTTCAAAAGTACAAAAATCATTTTAAGTTTTTTTATTAGTGACAGTTGACCATATATTGTATTGATCGTACAATTTGATTAGATGTTATTATTGTGGTTATATTTAAATTAATTTTTTTTAAAAAAATTAAAAACGTATGAAATTCCTAAATAAATGATAAATAATTCAAAAAAAGACGTAACAAAATATACATTACATCCAATCAGATAAACGCAATTTTTTTTTTAAAAAAAAGTAAATATTCCAACTTCTTTTTTTGTAAATTTGGCATGCAAAAAAGTGAAAGAAAAATAATTAATTATTATATGCATACAAATAACTCACAATACTTTATTTACATCTGTGCAAATGCACAGGATCGAATACTAGTTAATATTTAAAATATAATGATTAAATTAATTAGCTACTAAAGTAAGAGAGGGTGACTGGAAGTGATGAGTAGTTAAAATTATATGAATAGCTAAAAAGTAATAAAATTAATGTGACATGTGAGAATGATTGATTGTTATTATTTAATTATATTGATAATATTGATGAGAGTTGAGCAGATTAGATAAATAGTAAATCAAACTGCACATTAATGCGTGTGAGATTGCATGTCAGTGTAACAATACATTATGCGCAATGAAGAAAACACCCCACATGAAAAATCAAAAGTCCACATAATTACAGGAATGTCACCGCCCTTTTGACCAAAGTTGAACCGTTCGACGGTGCTTGAAGTATTGATATATCACATCCGACCACTACAATTCATTCTTATTTCTTCTACTATGACACATTCTCACATGATCCTACTTCTACATAACTATCAAATCAAATTGATACATGAATTAGAGAGCTCTTATTTCATTTCTTAACAATTCACTAAGTTCTCCATTCATAATGTCACGTCTTAGTTGTATATTGATAGTCACTCGTATCTGAACAGTTGCCAACTCCACCGTTTTTACGCAAATGATTCCACAGAGAAAACCAATTATTGCTTTTACGCCACAAAAGGACAGTAATACAGCTAAAAATGGACAAGACCAAATCCTTATACAGCCGGGTTAAAGGTACAATACAAAATTGCAGTCCAGCTACTCCAACTAAAACTCGATCGACTACAAAGGAAACTACAAAAAGATTTTCAATTATTCTCGGCTTTGGGAATGTCGAGGTCCTTGAATATGGGACTATCGACTCCTACTCCCATTGCGTTCAGACCATTGTCGACATATACAACTGCACCTGTTATGGCCGAAGCCAGTGGCGAGGCCAGGAAGGCCGCCGTGTTTCCTACCTCATCTGTCCCGATGTGTGTCCAAAATAAGTCACTCTTCTTTTCTTAATATTATAACAACAGTAAATATGGAACTTCTTCTTTCGAGAATGTACCTGCTGACAATTCTTTCTGAAGAGGGGCATTTGCTAGGGAGTAATCGATCATCGTGTCGATGAATCCGATAGCTTTTGCAGCACGACTTCTCAATGGGCCTGTAAATAATTTGCAGATAGGTAACAGCAGTGACTTGAATGAAATGGAATTATTGAAATTTGAGCCACACTACAAGGGAAGTAATAAAGATAAGATGCAACAGAAGGTGAAGCAAAGAAAAAACAGGCACATTAGTTTATTATATATACCACCCACGATAGATTATTGTTGTCCGGAAATTTCCTACACTAAGGGGAAGAATACCAAGAAACTTAAAGAAACGATGTAGAAAGCGAGTCCGACATTAAAAAAAAAAAAAAAAATGCATTTCGTTTCTAGCAAATATGATGAGAAATGGCAGGAAAAAATGGTTTAAAAATCGATATGAATGCTTACCAGCAGATATGGTGTTCACCCTGACTTTATGTTTCCGTCCAGCCTCAAATGCAAGCACCTGATTGAATCAACAATTATCTCTCCAGAAATAAGGAGTAGAAAAAAAAGAAAGAAAGAAAGCCACAGCTCCTTAAAACCATCAGAAATTTTATTCGTCAACGATATAATTACCCTTGTATCACTCTCTAGTGCTGCTTTTGCGGAGCTCATGCCACCTCCATATCTGTTAGATGATCAATACTAATAGTTATCTTCAATATCTATAGCACCATCAAGTTAGTAAAACAAGCACATCAAGAGGTAAAATAAATTTCAAATACCCAGGGATGATTTTCTCAGAGGCAATATAGGTTAGAGAAATGGACGAACCGCCTGAACCAAAAACCATCCATCAAATGTAAAAGGAAGTCGTCGATTTGATCCCGTGATTCCATCAGAAACACAAAAAGAACAAATATAACATATAATAACATAATAAAAGGTATGAACAAATTAACAAATACATGCCTGGGTTTATAATTGGAAGAAAATGCTTCAGTAAGGATACATATGAATAACTAGAAGCAGAAATTGCTGCGAGGTATCCTTTTCTTGACGTTTCCAGTAGAGGCTTGGTTACCTAGTAATAAATGGTTAAAATAAAACAAAAAGAATCCACCGGTCAATATTACATAACAACTGTGAAGGCAAATGTACCTCCGGCCCATTAGCAAGAGAGTGCACAAGAATGTCTATGCTGCCAAAATCCATTTTTACGCATTCTGCTACTTCCTGTGAGATAATACAGAAGCACTCAGAGAAGTATCTTCCATTTGAAGAACAAAGATTTCAGCGATTTGAAAGCCCAAACCAACTGTTAAAATGCCCTCAAGAAACACCCCAAAACTCCAAAAGATAATATACAAGAAGCAACATTACGCATATTGATCAGTCATTATGCGTGTAGATGGGCCTAACACTTAAATCGTTGGGGTCCCCATGATAAAGGCTCCTAGTAAATTAGAACAAAAAACTGTACCTTAACGGTCCAACTACTGGATCCAGCATATCGTTTGTTTGCTTTTATCTGCATAAAGCCCAAACACAAAATCACAGAGCCGTTCAATGGAATTGGGAAAAAAATGTGTTCTATTTGAGAAAGTACGTCTTCAGGAACATCTTCTGGAGTGTCAAAAACTGCATCCAATGCGTAAACTTTAGTGATCTCCATCAAAGAGCCGTCAGGCAAACTGAAATCAAAAACTTGGTCGTTATAGACCACATGTCAGTCAGTATTTAAATATGTAGACAATAAACAAATGAAAGGCATACAAATTTTGAAAACATACACCCGTGATTCATCAAACTTCCCACGACGTAGACTAGTTTCAAAAATATTCAGTGCCTGTACAATAAATCCAACCATCAGCTCACGATGGTAAACTTAGTGGCAGGAACCATGAAGCCTAACAAATTCAGCTATTTTACTCACTGGGACCCATGTTCCAACAAGAATTTCAGCACCTGCAGCAGCTAGAGACTTTGCAATAGCCCAACCATAGCCGTTGTCATCAGCTACACCAGCAATAAAAGCTCTTTTACCTGTAAAAAGCATACAATCGAGCTACTTTAATCACACCAAATGAATTTTACGATCCCTCATATTAACCGGTTGATTTGGCTAGACTAATAACAAAAGAACAATGTGGCGAACAATTTTGCAACATGTGTGGACCATAATATGTAAAACGTGCCTCCTCAACTGCCAGTAGCATATTTCTCAAAACAAAAGCAAGTTGAGTCGGAAAGCAAAACAGAAGCTATTTGATCAGCTTCCAATTTCTGCCTCCAAAACTTGGCAGACTTGGAAGATACTAGCATTAATTTTCCTCGTTTTGCTCCTTTACTTGGATGTCCCAAATTTCGAACAAAAAGATAAAACCATGCATCAATCTTTTCAATTCAAAATTGTTATGGGTTTCATTCACATTCCTCGTAGGTTAAATTTGGTTCATTAGATTCTCGTGAACCGCTATAAAAATGCGTATAGAAAATGTCCGTCACGCGTCATATGATAACATAAAGACTGCAGGTTAGATAACAAATTAACTGCCGCTGTACAACAACCTCAAAGACAAAGACAAAAGATCTCAAACCTTTCAAATTGATGGACAATCCGGAAGCAGGCTTGCTTTCATCAGGTTCAGACATTGCCTTAGTGGCTATTTTGTCAAGCTTAACGGGAGACGACGTGAAGGTACGATTGAAATGATGTCCGGATGATATGTGACAAGCACTGGACAACCTAGCCCATGATTCTCCCAGGCCAAAAGAATTGACTCCGACATTTTTCCTCCCGCTAAAAATTCTTTGAGAGAAAAGAGAGGGTTTTGCTACTACGGCCTGCAAGCTTGAAGTTGCTGTAACTGCCATTTTCTGTGTAAATAATTTGAAGGAGAGGAGTTGTGACCTGTGCAACAATGGAAGTCCAGAATTATTCTCCAAAAGGAGCTAAACGAAATATAACAGGAACAATGCCAAAAGAAAGAAAAACCTTTTTAGTTGCCTAAAAGAATATTTAGCTAAAATGACCACAACCCTGTGTATCCTTTTTCTTTACATGTAATTAACTGGCAAGTGAATTACAATTTACAAAGACCTTTAAAATGTATCATCCATTTACACAAAGTAGAGGACATCAACTCGTTCAGAGGGTGACGTTAATTCTATTATCTTCGTACAAGTTGGTCACAAGTCGTAACATCCTTCAACAGCTCACCCCCCCTCTTGTTCGACTATATCATATTTTTTTTGTTTTATCATTCCTGATACCATTTTCCAGTGAGCAAAGAGCAATGTAACTTCCCATTTCTTCAGTTTACTTGAATCATTACAAAAAAAAAAGTAATGCTAGTGCAAAATCTGTGCCGAAGCAAAGAAATGCACTTAATTTCTGCAATTCTACCTTCTCTCACAAATCTAATCTGAATTATAATCTCAACCCCAAAATGTAAACAATTTATGAAATAATAAAAAAAACAACCAAACCAGAATTAAACACTCTCTTCTTTTTTTATAAATAACAGCATCAACAAACGAACAAAGTACAACAGTTAAGAACATTTTTTGGGCAAACCAGGAAGAGCTTACCCCAAAATAAATAACCTACGAATACATACATTAAAATTCTACCA